TTTTTTTTTTTTTTTTTTTTAAACTTCAAAAGCATTAAAAGCATAGCAGTTCATCTAGTTAGTCAGTCTCAGGAAGATGCCCATGCAGTAGGCCCCTTTACACTACTCCTTTCTTTTGATACCCTAGCAGCTTTCTCTTGAGGAATCTGTGGATTTCCTAAGAAATGTTCCTATTCTAAAAAAACAAGTGAGGTGATAATCACGGGTGTTCTGCTCAGTGCAAACCCTCCAAAACCACCAAATCTGCACTCAGGAGCATACCTGTGATTATCACCTCACAAATCTCAAAAGGGCTTTCATTCCACAAGGACAGTCGTCCAGAGAGAAAGATAGAAAGATCACATTTTTGAAAGAGTCAGCCATATAGTACATGAAGAACTGCTGCAGTACAGAAAGAAAACCCCCATAAATTGCACATTACTAGTTATGACAGTCTTCCCTGGAACCTTTATGGAAAATCCTCGAACAGTTGCAACCTATGTTAGAAAAAGACCCAGTTCTTAAAGAGCTCTTCCAGAAACCATGCATCCTAGTCTTTAAACAAGCACCGAATCTTGCCAACCTCATCACCAGAAACAAACTTCCACTGGCCTAAAATGCACCGAATGGATCCAGGCCATGCCATGACAAGAAATGTAAAACCTGCCAATATATCATCCCCATCGCCCCCACAAAATAACTACACCCCACAACAGAATCATCAACATTCCTGGATCTTACACCTGCACTTCCAGAAATGCCCTGATGGAAAATATGTAGGAGAAACCAAGCTACAACTGTATACCAGAAAGATTTTCGGTGTGCATGCAATCAGAGATGAGAATACCCAGTTACCTGTGAGGGCACATTTCTCACAAGACAACCACTCTCTCTCCAATCTCTCAGCTCTAATCCTCAAAGGGAATTTACAAAATACCTTTCGCAGACCAGCCTACAAACTTTACTTTATCAACCTAAAGGATACAAAAAATCATGGACTAGACAATCACGTGCCATAAATTGTTGCATTTATGGCACATTATAACCTACCTAACATCTGATGCCCCTGGTAACTTTTCTACTATTTGCCAGCTATATCTTATCACCATATCTGAATTCCCCTTTCCCCCACTGCCCCCCACCACCACCACTTGTTTCCCACCCACTGACTGCATCAATTTGTGTTTTTACTGATTGGCATTCTCACATACTGGCCTCTGGCTTCTCTTCTATTCCACTCAGGAAGACACAGAATGACTGCAGGTGCTTCCTCAGCCTGAAGAAGGGTGTTTGTACCCAAAGTCTTGCAAAGAAGAATTTTTACAACTATTTTAGTTGGTCGGATTTATCCCAAGAACCTTGCCTGCCTATGTTCTTAGACCAACATGGCTACAACCTATACCCTTATTCTAGGAAGTACTTTTGGAGACCTCACAGAGGAACCACACCAGACTCTTGAATCAAATCAGATTTTGCCCAGACATTAAAGATTTCATTTTTTATGATGTTACTTTGGAGATCCTACACCAGTTTCAGTATCTTTCCAAGTGCTGTCTGTGCTAGAACAAAGATGTGTTGCCATGCAGATTTGAGGATTAATGAAGATCTGTGTTCACACACAGGTACTAAGAACAGATCACTGTTCAACATTGAGATCATCTTCTTAGAAGCATAGAACCAGATAAGATTCCCCAAGGCCGCCAAGTCCAGTCCCTTCCATTTGCTGGCAACAATTTACCCAGGGAGTCCCCAAGGTTACCACTTTGGGGAAAGGCACAAAATCAGAAACACCAGGAATGACCCACATGTGCCATTAATAAAAGCAGGAGAGAGAAGGGTACTGTCAATCACTTGCTAGAAAAATTGGTTAATCTACTTTCAGAGGATCCTTAATGCTGTCTCTTGCACCTGCCCTGGTTTCCTCTTCTGTAATGTACCCACCTAGACAACATTCAGAAGAGATGCTGATGGTGGCCTCTTCTATAAAAAACAAACATATATTTGGAGATATGTCTCATAGTTAGGGGTCTAAAACCTTTGGGGAACTAACCAACTTTTGTGGGTTGATCATGGCCTAACGTTTTCTTTCTACGGTCATTACACAGTGGCCCTGCCCCTGATTTCGAGAGGCTCCTGGGGGAAGGAGGCACAAGAGGGTGGCTGCCATCTTGTCTGCTGCCTTTCGTGCTGCCCCACCAGCTGACACCATCTCCTGGCAGCAGGGACTGTTGGCTCCCACTGCGGAGCCAGGATTTTATTTTTATTAAGTTTTTTTTTATGATAATCCTGGATTTTGCCGTTTCTGCAAAAACCACAAAACTGAGATTTAAGTAACTCCCTACGCAGTAATAGTCCCGTGAGCAAAATTGCAGTGGAAACCCCAGTTTTGGTCCTTTTACCATGAAAATGAAAATATATTAAAGGAAGGAGCCTCAGTCCAGTATCGTATTTTATAAATCATTTACATTTTTTTAATAATTATATGCATCATATTGTTGTACTTGCTTCTAATGGAATTTTTTATGGGTAGGAAAGAGAACCACTTCATCAGCCAGTCACTGTTATGAATTCATAGGAGGTAACATGCTTCACAAGGCTGGGGAAGACCATAACTGTGCCCAGGTGAATTGCCTTTTCATGGATCTTGACTGCTGATGTTCGACCATTAAGTCTTCAGTGCAGTTATCTACATATAATTGCTGACTGGTCTAAGGAAATGACCTGGTGATTTTGTACTCGGATCCTAAGTTAATTATTTTAAGATGCAACTTCCAGATACTTATTTTTTACTGTCAAATTGCACCTGATAGTAACTAGTTGTACAGGATGAAAAAGAGAAAAGGTTGATCATCCACTGGGTCTTACACTTACAACAATGTCCTTTGACTACTGTGAAGAATGAAGGTGTCTCATCACATCTTCTGTATTTGTCTGTATGTGAATGGCTATTGTGCACTCTTTTCTTTATACCTTACTTTTTAAAAATTGTGATGATGTATTTTTGACACTTGCCTCTCTCTATTCCCTCTTCAAACCATTTTTTTAAAGTTCTAGTATGTTGAATGATTCATTATAAATCTATATTTCAACATCCAGAAATTCCTCCTTTTCTGTTGTGTGCTATTGTACACTTTGCTTAACAGTCCCTTTCTACTTGGGAGCTAATGAACCTGACACCTCAGCACCCTTGTGCTTTGATCTCATGATGACAGATATTGCAGGTCAGAGGAAAAGTGGAGGCTGCTCTAATACTCTGTGCTTTTCTAACAATTGAATGGCTTTCCATTGAGCAATAGCAATCATTGCCTTAGGACACAGGTGTAGACAGTTATAGCAAGGGGGGGAAGTATTTGACAGCAGGTAGCTACAGGAATAACATGTCTGCATGTGAACATCTGAAATGAAGGAACTGTTGAAAAAGAATGGTGAGAATTCTTAACAAATATTCTGCCTCAGGTCAAATAGGATGCCACTCCATACTTGTCTTCTCAAGCTGATTTCTCTGTTTGACCTTTTGCTATTCATTGTCAATTTTCATAATCCCAAGTGCTCTCTTCCATAGATAAAAGAGGCAGTAATGAGTGTCTTAATGTTTTAAAGATGTTCACTTTAGGAAGATACCTCATAGGCATCTATTCTTTGAATGTTGTTTAGTTTAAGCTGCTTTTTTATTTGTAGCCATTCAGGCAGATAAGGGAAAATATCCTGAGATAATTAAAGAATTTGCTTTCTGGGAGTTTGCAGGAAAGAATAATATATCAGCAGGTAAGGAATAAGTAGGCACATTGCCCAGCTCCTTCTCTGCTGTGGCACCTCAGCATAAATAATTTTTGTTTTTAACACCTGTATAGAAACATCATGAACAGTGTTGTTGTAAACATTTTGATTTATGGCAGATGACTTTTCCTTCCCTCACATGATGTAAATATATACAGATTTAATAATATAATGTAATGCTTCTTCCAAAAAGTGCAAAAAAGCATTCTGCCAAAGAAGTTTACACTTGAATGTATCGCCATAGTCCAGACTGTAAGGTTCTGGGTTAGCTGTGTGGGAACCAAACCCCTTTACTTACCTCCTGTCTGACTCTGAACAACTTGCTTCTCTGGCCGTCAGGTTCTCCCCAACCTGTGTAAAATAGGGATACTGATATTTTACACCCTCTTCTGAAAAGGGTTTGAATGAAATATTAGTATTTTGGTGCACGTTAATGCACACACCAACCCAGCATTTATTTTTTTACTCGGGTGTTTTGTTTTTTTCCATATTTTTCTCTGTAAACATGAATGAGACGCATTCCTTGTATCTCCCAGTTCTGTTGGGATCACAAGGAGTCAGATATTTCTTTTCCTCACTTGTTTTTCAAGGTGTTCCAGTATTTTTTACAATGCTGTCAATTTTTCAAAAGTATGTCAGCTTCCTGTTCCAGGACCCTTTTTTTTCTGGCTTCTACATCTAGTGTTTTGAGTTGTTATTCTTGGCTGTTAACCTGTCTTTCCAATTTTTAGAATTTTCTTGATCCAATTTTAGTCTCTTCCTTTAGTGGACATGAAAGACATTTGGCTCTTTGGTTGCCCTTGTGTCTCTAATGCTATTTCAAAGCCATATTGCTGCTCACTGTCTCAAATTATGCTTGAGCGAGGAAACCACAAAGCTTGTATTCAGAAGTCTAGCTTGTCTTGCTTTTCTTCTTTGTTTTGTTCTTGTTTTATTTTGTTTTGATTTTAAAAATGGGATATCTGCTTCTCTGTTATAATAGCAGCAACAGGAAAGTGGTTATTGTTTTGATTTGCTTTTATTATTGTACACTTTGAGTTTGACAGCTCGCATTTTGGGTAATTATTTTCTTAACTTCTCTGCCTGTGTTGTAAAAGCATGTACACTCAATTGAAGTTTTCCGAGCATATGTAAATAAATTTGCAAATAACTGTGTTGAGCTCTGTGCAACATGTATTAAAGTCATTTTCTCATTGCAGCAGAACAGATGCTGAAATTTCCTTCTGTTTTTTCCCTAGTGGTTCGTCCAGAATTGGGATGTCGAGAGCTTGTTACCAGAAACCTCTCCAAAATTCTTCCTGGTCTCTGTCATGATATGACAGACTGGGTTGAAGGCACAAGAATAAAATCATCTCAGCTTCTGTATATATTATTGCTTCATGCAGAGGATCACATTACACAGCACATGGAGCTATTACTTAGAACCTTGTACCGTGTGTGTTCAGATGAAGAAAGCAATGTGGTTAGAAATGTAAGTTTGCCTGTTTAAATATCTGTAATACTCTAGAGGAAGATCCCATGTTGAATAGTCTTGAATATGTTTTATGATAGGAAACTTGGCTTCAATTCCCTCCTGAAGTCCAAGGGAGTACTCAGAATTGGGTCTTAGTTATAAAACAGCAATTTGCATCATACATGAGGAAAAACCTGGCCCACGGTTTCTTTTCCTTCTCATTTCATAGATTTCATAGACATTAGGGCTGGAAGGGACCTTGGAAGATCATCGAGTCCAGCCCCCTGCCCGAGGTGCAGGAAGTCAGCTGGGGTCATAGGATCCCAGCAAGATAAGCATCCAAATTTGCTCTTGAAGGTGTTCAATGTAGTTGCTTGAACCACCTCCAATGGCAGGCTATTCCAGACCTTGGGGGCTCAGGCAGCAAAGAAATTGTTCCTTATGGCCAGCCTGAAACGGTCTTACAGTAGTTTATAACCGTTCAACCTGGTCATCCCTTGGGGCGCTCTGGCGAACAAACGTTCCCCCAGAAACTGGTGGTCACCCCTGATAAACTTATAGGTGGCCACCAGATCACCCCTGAGCCTGTGGTTTTCCAGGCTAAAGAGCCCCATAGCTCTCAGCCTGTCATCATAAGGTCTGTTTTCCTGACCTCTGATCATGCGCATGGCTCTTCTCTGGACTGTCTCAA